GTTGTCCTGTCCCGCCCCGGGCCTGGCCGCGGGGGCTGCGGCGGCGCGGGCACCTGACCTTGGCTGGGAACCGCGTCCCTGCCCACCCCCTTCCGGCCTGTGCCGACTTTCCCCCATTCCAGTCCCTCGGCGACGACAGAGAAGGAAACTTTGTTTCTGCGGATGGAGCGCCTCGGCTCCCAACGCGGTGGGAACACACGCGCAGAACAAGCACGAGACACACACAGATACCCGACGCACACACGCACACGCGACATCCACAGACATGCGGGGCCAAGACACGCCGGCACAGAAACACACACAGATACATAAGCACACAAACAACACACACAACTGCAGCCACCCTGGCAAACTTAACACTCGGTCCTCCTGTCACAGACATTGTATGTGTGTCTGTTTCTGCGTGTGTGTATCTGTGTTCAGTAGTCTCTACTAACCCGCAGAGGATACGTTCCCATACCCCGGTAGATGTCTGAAATCAGGGATAGTCCCAAACCCTATATGTACTATGCACGGATTTGTTTTTCTTTCTTTTTTTTTAAGTCGCAGTCTCACTCTGTGGCCCAGGCTGGAGTGCAGTGGCACACTCACAGCCACTGCAGACTCAACCTGTTTGGCTCAGGCAATCCTTCTGCCTCAGCCTTCCAAGTAGCTGGAACTCCAGATACGCTACCACGCTCTGCTAACTTTCTGATGTATTGTAGAGATGAGATCTTGCCAAGTTGGCCAGGCTGGTCTCGAACCCCTGAGCTCAGGCAGTCCTCTTGCCTTGGCCTCCCAAAGTGCTGGGATTACAGGCTTGAACCACAGCACCCAGCCAGGAATTTATTTTTCTTCTTTGCAGTTGGTACTGCTTGGCAACTTCAGCATAAGATTTTTTTTTCTTTTCTTATTAAGTGGAGAATTTTCCCCTTTTCACTTAGAGGAAACTCTCGAGGGCTTCTCTTTTGCATATCCAAATTGCAGGCCTGGAGCCGTTATGCCCCTAAAATAAGGATGACTTGAGCGCAAGCACTGTGATCCCACAACAGTAGATCTGGTAACTAAGTGACTAACAGGCAGGTAGCTGGTTGAGTAGTGGACACAGCGTGGAAATGCTGGACAGAGGGAGGAGGGACAGAGCAGGACACAGAGAGATGTCTTTGCACTACTCAGAAGGATGCATGATTTAAAACGTATGAATTGTTTACGTCTGGAATTTTCCACTGAATATTGTTGGACCATGGTTGACCGAGGATAACTGAAACCTCAGAAAATGAAACCGTGGATAACGGGGGACTGCTCTATGTTGTATGGCTGTGTGTGTTGTGTACCTCTGTATGTTTGCACATCTGTGTCTCTTGTTTGTCTCTCTGTACTTGTGTGCAACTCTGTGTTTGTGTGCACTCAGCATATGCCTGCGTTACTAAACACCACCACCACATTGGGGAAGGAATGCAGTCCACCCCCAGAAACTCAGAAGCAGTTATTCAAGGCACTTATATACATTAACTCACTTACCCACAGAATTACACATGCTCAGTTTTCTACAAACACACTGGGAAATGCCTGTAAGTACACAAATGTACACATAAATTCATTCACTCATTCAACCAACAGTTATGGAGCCCCTACTGTGTGCCAGGCCATTCTGACACCTCAGGGGACAAAACAGACACAAACCTTGCCCTCCTGGAACTGACATCCTAGCAGGGAAGATAATGAACAAGGCACCATCGTCCAACGTGTCCCGTATGTTGGATGATGAGAAGAGCCAAAGAGGAAAAGCCAAGTAGGGAAGGAGCCAGAGATGATGGGGAGGCCCCAACTTAAAACAGGGTGGGCAGGCACAGAGGACTGAGGAGTGTCAGCTGAGCTACAAACATGAAGGAGGGAGGGCATGAGACATGCGGACCTTTGTGGAAACACTGTTCCATGGAACAGAGTGGATGGGTTCCAGGGCAGAAACAGTACTCCATGTGTGTGCTCCAGAAACACCGAGAGGCCAGTGCTGCAGGAGCAGAGTGAATGAGGCGAGGACAGGGAGAGGGTTTAGGTGGTGAACAAATGCTTCTGCATTTACTCACACTCACACCCACGGGGCCGTTTTCTTAAGTGCGTGTCTGTTAGGTGTCTGGTCCTGTGTGTCTGTGTGGATTGGTGTCTGTGTGGATTGGTGTGAGTGCGTCTGTGTTTGTGCATGTATGTGGACGTATGTGTGTCTGTGTACGTCCGTGTCTTGTGTCTGTGTGTCTATATGTATGTGTGTGAGGATGTGTGTCTCTATCTGGGTGTAAGAATGTATGTGGGGCTGTGTGTGTCTGTGTGTCTGTGTGTGGAGGGTTAGGGCTGAGGCCATGGGCCTGTCCTTGTGTTTGGAGATGGAGGCTTGTCTTAACGCATTGTTCTCCCTCTTCGAGCAAGTGTCTGTGTGGGCTGGACTGACCTCAGTCAGGCCAGGCATGGTGGGGCAGCCCGGCATGACCCCGGAGTCCTCCCTTCCTCTCTCTGACAGCAGACTCCTCCCTCATATGACTCCCCAGGCCTGAACAAGACATCCTCTTTTTCCTGTGAAGCGCATAACGCCAAGGGGGTCACCACATCCCGCACAGCTACCATCACAGGTAACAGGAAAGGGAACTGGGTGTTAGAGGATGGGGCTTGGGTCAAGGGTCAGTGTGCGGGACAGAGGGCAGGGCGGGGAACAAAGACTTTCTGGGATCACTCCCTCCCCTCATTTGTCTGCAGTGCTCCCCCAGAGACCCCGCAACCTCCACCTGGTTTCCCGCCAACCCACGGAGCTGGAGGTGGCTTGGACCCCAGGCCTGAGTGGCATCTACTCTCTCACCCACTGCACCCTGCAGGTGAGATCCCCCAGCTTGGCTCACCTTGCTCTCAGTCCTTCTTCCACCTACACTCATAAGCCCCCATCCTCTCCCCGGGAAGCTAGCCCTTCCGGGCCACTAGTGTGCTGAGAGGCAGTAGAGCCAGATATCCTGGGTTCGAATCCTGGCTTTACCACCTGCTGTCTGTGTGAGCTTAGGCAAATGGCTTACTCTCTTTGGGCCTCAGTTCTCTCATCCATAAAATGAACATAAAGGTAGTGCCTACCTGATAAGCTTGTGAGAATTCAATGAGGAGATACAAGTAACCAACTTAAGATAGTATCTGGAACATAGGAAACATAAGCAAAGTGTCATATGATGTTAACTGTTTTAATTGGGTTTTGTATTAGTGATATTAACTCTAGCTAGAGTGGGATCCCTGAGACAGTGGGGCCTGGAGCCAATCACTGGGTACCCACAACCCTCTGTGTCTCCCCTCCCAGCCCTGACCACTCTGGATCGTCTGAGGGTGGATCTGTCCCCCACTGAACTTTGAGCTCGGTGAGTGCAGGGCTGGTGTGGTCCCAGTCACCACCGACTCCTCATACAGGCCAGACATAGAGTAGGGAACATTTGCTAGAAGGATATATTACAACTGAGATGCGCCAGTCCCAGTTTCTGTCCTGAACTGCCCTACTCCTGAATAAGAAAACCAAAACCAGACACACAGATCTGTAAATCCAAGGCCCAGTTCTGGTCGGTCTGAAGTTCTCTGAGATCCAGAAGTTGGAAGGGAGGGTGGGACGATGTATGACGGGAGATGACCATGATGAAGAACAACCAACTTTTACTGAGTGTCAACTGGGTACCGAACTTGTGTTAAAGCTCTATGCACACTTCCTCGTGTGTCTGTGAAGGAAGGTATATGGATACACCCATTTTCCAGATGAAGAAACTAAGGTTCAGAGTCATTAAGCAACTTGCCCAAGATCACAGCCATGAAGTGGCAGAGGGGGATTCAAATCCTTGTCTCGCCAAACCCAAACCGTGAGACCACAGTTTAGAGCCAGTACTCGGTTAAACAGATGTTGTCTTTCTTATTCATATGTACCCTGGGCACAGCTTCATCCACTTGTCGTTTTAAACTTAGACAGTAGCAGCTGTTAATCTTCCCCTCACCCGCCCCAGAGAAGGGAAAGTGACCTGCCTCCCCCAACTACTCCCTCCATGACTAGAAGGATAAAGCTGAGATTCAATCCCAGAGGGCAGCGGGATTTGGGAGACCTCAAACGCCAGGTCAGGCGTCAGCCGTGCCCCCGCCCACGTCCATCAAATGTCCCCAGGAAAGCAGAAGTGTGTCCTCTTCCCTCTCCAGATCTCACTTCCTGCTGAGCATGGGCTGAGGCTAAAGGGTTCCAGCGGGAGGGTCACAGCCGTCCCAAGGAAAAGAGAAGTGGGAGTGGGCACGGGGACGCCGAGTGTCTGTGCCCATCTCCCCTCTGTCCTGGCAGAGGTTCCTCTTCCTCTGTCACTGTGGGTCAGAGAGCAGGCAGGAGGACAGCTTCATCCCCTCCTGCTACCCACCATCTTCCCCTGCCCCCAGGTCTCATGGTGATGCCCTTGCCCCACATGGGGGCTGTGTGACTTTGGACAGGTTGCTGAACCCCTCTGGGCCTCAGCTTCCTCATCTGTAAAATGAGAAAAGAAATGAACCCCATAGGGTGGTGGTGGTAAGTTACTGAGTTCACCCAGGAAAGTGCTGGACAGGGAGCTTGGCATATACTTGGCACTTGAGAAATGTGAGCTGTTGATATTATAACATGCAAACTAGTTTGCACACATCATATCATTAAACCTTATGGCAAGTAAGGACTGTGACGTCCTTTTTCCAGAGACAGAAACTGAGACTTATGGAAACTAAGATATTCACCCTAGGTCACACAGCAGGTAACATCCAACCCAGGACTTAGACCCAAGGAATCAAGCTTCAGAGCCCATACCCTTAGGTAATAAACTCCTTCCTGACACACTATGTGGTAGTGTGGTTGGGGTCTCCAAGGTGAAGGCGAAGCCCTGAGCAGCAGCCCTCCTGAGGTATATGGCTGTAAAGTTGTACGGTTGTGGTGGCCTTGTGGTTCCAAGTGGCAGGGCAGCACAGATGTGCATCCCAGTAATGGCCCTCTCCAACCTGATGGCGCCATTCCTGGGGACCAGGTAGGCGTGGGAGCCAGTACCCCTAGGCAGGGGTGTGCAGAGTTTGACACTTGTGCCCAGACCACCTCACACATGCATAAAATAATCATGACAAACATCCAGTATGCACAAGCAGTCTCCTACATGCTTACATGCCCCAATGCAATCACCCCTGCAAAGGGGGAGCCACGGTTATCCCATTTTACAGATGAGGAAACTGAGACATAGAGTAAGGGAATGGGAGAACCTGGGTCTGAGCCCCAAATTCAGCGTCTGTGCTCCACAGCACTAGGGCTACACTGCCTTTCTGGACAGATAAGAAGTATTGTTACTATTATTGATTTTGTTTGTTTGCTTTTGAGTTGAAGTCTCACTCTGTCATCCAGACTGGAGTGCAGTGGCACGCTCCTGGCCACCGCAACCTCGACCTGCTAGGCTCCGGCGAATCTTCTGAGTAGCTGGAACTACAGGTTTGTGTTACCACGCCCGGCTAATTTTTTGATTTATTGTAGAGATGAGGTCTCCCCAAGTTATCCAGGCAGGTCTCGAACCCGTGGGCTCAGGCAATTCACTCATCTCAGGCCCCAAAGCGCAGGATTACAGGTTGAGCCACTGAACCCGGCCATTATTGATGTTTTTACTGTTAGTGGAGCAAAGGCTTTGGAGGCAGGATGGGGTTCAGGTCCTAGCTCTATCAGTGACAAACCGGTGACCCTGGACAAGTGATTCCATCTCTCTGGGTCTCAGTGTTCTCATTTGTATAATGGGGATAATAAGCATAATATCTACCACAGTACAACAGAGTTGATGTGAGGGTCAAATGAGTTCAGATTTGCAAAGGGCTTAGAATGGTGTTCAGTAAATATAGGCTTAGAATAGTGCTCAGTAAATACTTTTTTTTTTCTTGAGACTGGGTCTCACTATATTGCCCAGGCTGATCTTGAACTCCTGGACTCAAGCAATCCTCATGCCTCAGCCTCCCAAAGTGCTGGGATTACAGATGTGAGCCAGTTTTTGTTTTTTTTTTAAATTAAGATAATACATGACATGCATCATCTTTGCTTTGCACACGTATTCACCCATTTAACCACCCTCCAAATCAAGACACAGACTCTTCCAGCCCCCAAGAAGTCTCCCTCACGCCCCAGAGATGACAACTCTTCTGACCTGTGTTGTAGGACTTTGCTTTTGCCAATGGCAAAAGTCATAGAAATGGGATCTCGGACTGGGTTTGGTGGCTCAGCCTGCAATCCCAGCACTTTGGGAGGCTGAGGCGAATGGATTGCCTGAGCCTGCGGGTTCAAGACCAGCCTGGGCAACTTGGTGAGACCTCATCTCTACAATAAATTTTTTTTAAAAATTAGCTGGGCATGGTGGTGCACACCTGTAGTTCTGGCGACTTGGAAGACTGAGGTGGAAGGATCACAGGTGCTTAGCAGGTCTACACTGGAATGGCTGTGACTGTGCCACTGCACTCCAGCCTGGGTGATGGAGTGAGACTCCAACTCAAAACAAAATAAATGGGATCTCACAGCATCATGCTTTTATTTATTACTGTCCTCTCACTATTCATCATGTCGATGCTAACATACACTGAGACTGTTTCAGGATTTGATCATTTGAGCCCCCATTTGCCCAATGAAGAAACTGAGGCTCAGAGAGGGAAAAAGAGTCTTTCCAGAGATGGTTTTTGCAAGTGGGGACACAGAAGACACAGTATGGTCTTCTTGCTTTAAAAATCCAAGTGCTCATGTCATACCAGCATGGAGCTGAAACACACACACCCTTGCAAAGTTGTGTAGTCACACCAGGACCGCCACAGTCACGGCTTGTGTGACTGCTTCGTGACTGCATGGTTGTCCTGTCCTCACTCCCACTCCCTTCCATCTCCCCAGGCTGTGCAGTCAGACGATGGGGTGGGCACCTGGCTGGGAGAGCCAGATCCCCCGGAGGAGCCCCTCAACTTGCAAGCATCCGTGCCCCCACACCAACTTCGGCTGGGCAGCCTCCATCCCCACACCCCTTACCACATACGTGTGGCATGTGCTAGCAACCAGGGTCCCTCATCCTGGACCCACTGGCTTCCCGTGGAGACGCCGGAGGGAGGTAAGAAGGGCTAAGGGGGGACGTCCTCACTGCCCCGCTGGATTTGCTTACCTTCGTGTCACCCCAGCATCTCCCCTCACCCCCTTACCCCACGTGGCCTCAGTATCCTTCCTGCCCAGTCCCTGACCCCTCAGTGCTGCCCACTGGCATTTCTCCCGGACCTTCTCTCCTCTGTGCTTCCGCTCATGGGAAGCCTGCACGAGTTGCCCACGCATGTGCCCTTCACACCCTGCCCCCACTTCCTGGGAACAGGGGAGGGGGTCAGGAAGAGGTGGGGGTGCCAGCTTCCCCTCTCCCCTGTCCTCCAGTGCCCCTGGGCCCCCCCGAGAATGTTAGTGCCGTGCGGAATGGGAGCCAGGCCTTCGTGCATTGGCAGGAGCCAAGGGCGCCCCTGCAGGGCACCCTGTTAGGGTACCGGCTGGCATATCGAGGCCAGGACACCCCTGAGGTGGGTACTGCTGACTGGGTTGGGGCAGAGCAACTGGGGGAGGAGGGAGGTGGGGAAGAGAAGGTGGCAGGACAGACACGGACAGTTGTGCAGGTTATGTAGTACACAATCGCAATGTGTCTCAGGGAGCACATTCTGGGGAGGTCAAGAGGGTCTGGGGGAGGAGGAGGGAATGGCTAGTTATGAACCACAGAAAAAACATTTCAGGAGACTCCTATATTTACCATGACAATTTTACAGCCCTATTGTCATATAGCATCTTGAGGAAGGGGTACCTTTTCCTAATTTGCACAAAGGCACTACTGCCTGGGCTAGCAACACCCTGAGGTGGAGAGACAGGATGGGAAAGGAAGTTAGAAGGGTTGGAGAGACGAAGGTGAGAGGATGGAGATAACAGATGAAGAGGAGCAGGAGGTGGGAGATGGGAGGCTGCGGGAAGAGGAAAGGGATCTGAGAAAGAGTTGCAGAGTTGAGGCCGAGGGTGAAGGCTTGAGAGTTAGAGGCCTGGGGTTCCACCCTGATGCCACTTCTGGGGCTCCCAGGTGCTCATGGATATAGGGCTAAAACGAGAGGTGACCCTGGAGCTGCGGGGAGATGGGCCTGTGCCCAACCTGACAGTGTGTGTGGCTGCCTACACCGCTGCTGGGGATGGGCCCTGGAGCCTCCCCGTGCCCTTGGAGCCCTGGCACCCAGGTAAGTCCAAAGTCATGCTCAACGCACTTTGACCTACCCACCAGGACCTCGTCTCTCCCTACACCCATGACTTGCTCCCTGTACCTTTCAGTGTTACCCCAGCCTAGTTCTGTTCCTACTCCAAGCCTTCCTGGGAACCTCCCTCACTCCTTCACCTGTGCCAGCCAGTCTTGCCCTCTCTGAGCACGTCTCTCCTCTATCCTTTCTCCTCACAGGGCAAGGACAGCCAGTTCACCAGCTGGGTAAGGGCTTTCTCACCCCCTCTCCTCCTTCCCCCACTCAACACCTGTGAAGGCCTTGTCACCACATGTGCTCTTGGCACATCTCTTTTATGTCTCTCAAACTCATCACTCTAACCTACTTCTTGGGTTTGTGTAGTCCTTGATGGAAGTGATTAGAATGTCCCAGAACACTATAGGTACTAAGTGAATGGAGAAGGATGGATGGATAGATGTATATATGGATGGATGGATGGATGGATGGATGGATGGATGGATGGATGGATGATGGATGGATAGGTGGGTGGGTAGATGGGTGGATGAATGGATAGACAGAGGGCTGGATGGGTGAGTCGATGAATGGATGGGTAGGTGGGTGGATAGAAGGAAGGAAGGAAGGATAAATAGAGGGCTGAATGGGTGAGTGAATGGATAGAAAAGTAAATAGGTGAGTAGATGGATGGGTAGGTGGGTTGATGAATGGATAGACAGATGGGCAAATGGGTGGATGAATGAATAGAGAGCTGGATGGATGAGTGGATGAACGGATGGGTAGGTGGTTAGGTGGATGGATGATTGGGTAGATGGGCAGATAGAAGGAAGGAAGGGTAGATGATGGATAGACAGAGGGTTGGATGGGTGAGTGGATGAACAGAAGGGTAGATAGGTGGGTAGATGGATGGATGGGGAATGGATGGATAGATAGGCAGGATTGGATGGATGAGTGGATGGATGGAAAGGTAAATAGGTGGTAGATGGATGGGTAGGTGGGTGTATGAATGGATAGAAGGCAAGTGGATGAATTGATAGGTAGATGGTTAGGTGGATGGGTGGTGAGTGGATGGATGGATGGGTAGATGGGTGGGTGGATAGATGGGTAGGTGGTGGATAGAAAGGAAGGGAGGGAAGGAGAGAGGAAAGAAGGAAAGAAGGGTGGATGAATTGATAGACAGAGGGCTGGATGGGTGAGTGGATGGATGGAAAGGTAAATAAATGAGTAGATGGATGGGTAGGTGTGTGGATGAATGGACAGATAGATGGGTGGGTGAACAGATACACAGAGGGCTGATGGGTGAATGGATGAATGGATGGGTAGATGGGTGGGTAGGTGGATGGATGGATGGATGGATGGATGGATGGATGGATGGATGAGTGAATGAGTGGATGAACAAATAGCGGATGAATGGATGGGTAGAGGGTTAGGTGGATGCATGGGTGAGTGGATAGATGGGTGAATGAGTAAGTGGATGGATGGTTGAATAGACAGATGAACAATGGATGGATGTGTATATGGAGGGGATGAGTGGGAGGGTGGGTTGATGGATGGATAGATAGATGGGTGGATGGGTATATGAACAGATAGAGGACTGGATGAGTGAGTGGATGAGTGGGTGGATGGACAGATAGACGGACAGATGGATGGACGGGTATATGGAGAGTGGGTGGGTCAATGGATGGATAGATAGATGGGTGGATGAGTGGATGGATAAATGGGTGGATGGATAGTGGGTGAATGGTTACATAAATGGACAGATGGATGGATGGATGGATTGATAAATGGATAAATGGATGAACAGATGGATGAATGGGTATCCTCCTCACATCTATCCCTCCCAAGCATTTCCCCAGCAATTCTTAAGCAATCTTCCTATGCCCATCATGCCCTCCTAGCATTACAGCCCACCTCTTGTAACTCAACCTGCCATCCTTAAATACTCCTCACATACCTTCTCACATTTCTTTGCATATCCTTTCCATGTTCACCCCACCCTTTCACATACATCCCATTATCTTTCCCCACACAGGCCTCCCAAGCTCACTGCACACACACACTTCTCATTCACAAACTCTGCATGCCTTTTACACACTCACCCTGCATTCTACATCGCAAACACTGAAGAACTTTCATCCCACAACTATCCCACACCCTACAACTCTCTCTGCACACTCTCCCCACACTCCTAAGATATCACTCCCTCACCCCCACCCACTCTAACCCAGCATACTCTGCGCACACTCACACCACACTGTGTGTACCTCAGCACATAACCGTTTTTCTTTTTTTTTCTTTTTTTTTTTTTTGAGTTGGAGTCTCACTCTGTCGCCCAGACTGGAGTGCAGTGGCTGCTCCCGGCCACCGCAGCCTCGACCTGCTGGGCTCCGGCGGTCCTTCCACCTCAGCCTTCCGAGTAGCTGGAACTACAGGCGCGCGCTACCACGCCCCGCTGATTTTTGGTTTATTGTAGAGATGAGGTCTCGCCAAGTTGCCCAGGTGGGTCTCGAACCCGCGGGCTCAGGCAATCCACTCACCTCAGCCTCCCAAAGGCACGGGATTACAGGCTGAGCCACCGAGCCCGGCTCATAACCGTTTTTCACTGCTTATACACTCTGCCCCACTCCTGCCAGTTTGCGCACCCTTTCCACGCATCCCACACTCCCCACGTGCCCTTCTCACATCTTGACATGCTCATGACACACCCTTCACTCTGAACTTGCAGTCTTAAAAATCATTGCTCCAGGCCGGGCATGGTGGCTCATGCCTACAATCCCAGCACTTTGGGAGGCTGAGGTGAGAGGATTGCCTGAGCCCACAGGTTTGAGACCAGCCTAGGCAACTCGGTGAGACCTTGTCTCAACGATAAATTTAGCCAAAAAATTAGCCAGGTGTGGAGACCTGTAGTTCCAGCTATTTGGAAGGCTGAGGTGGAAGAATAGCCTGAGCACAGCAGGTTGAGGCTGCCTTAGCCATTAGCATGCCACTGCCCTTCAGCTTGGGTGACATAGTGAAACTCTGATCTTCCCCACAGAAAAGTCATTGCTTAAGGCCAGGCATGGTGGCCCATAGTGCCAAGTGCAGTGTGGCTCCCACCTATAATCCCAACACACTGGGAGGCCAAGGTGGGACACTGAGCCCAGAAACTTGAAACCAGCCTGGGCAATATAGTGAGACCTCATCTCTCAAAAAATTAAAAAATTAGCCAGGCATGGTGGTGCACAGCTGTAGTCCCACCTACTCTGGAGGCTGAGGTGGGAAAATCACCTGACCCCAGGAGGCAAGGCTGTGATGAACCATGATTGTGCCACTGCCCTCAAGCCTGGGTGACAGAGTGAGATCCCCCAACTCAAAAAAAAAACAAAAAAACAAAACTGCTAACTCCTTGTATTAAAAACCCTTGAGTTTCTTTTCCGGCCTCTCTGGTCTCGGCCGCAGAAGCAAGATGACAAAGGGAACATCATCGTTTGGAAAGCGTCGCAATAAGACGCACACACTGTGCCTCCACTGTGACTTTAAGGCCTACCACCTTCAGAAGTCGACCTGTGGCAAATGTGGCTACCTTGCCAAGTGCAAGAGAAAGTATAACTGGAGTGCTAAAGTTAAAAGACGAAATACCACTGGGACTTGTCGGATGAGGCACCTAAAAATTGTATACCGCAGATTCAGACATGGATTCCATGAAGGAACAACACGTAAACCCAAGAGGGCAGCTGTTGCAGCATCCAGTTCTTAAGAATTTCAACAATTAGCCAGGCTCAGTAGCTCAGCCTGTAATCCCAGCGCTTTGGGAGGCTGAGGTGAGTGGATTGCCTGAGCCCGTGGGTTCCGAGACCTGCCTGGGCAACTTGGCAAGACCTCATCTCTACAATAGATCAAAAAATTAGCCGGGCGTGGTAGCGCGCACCTGTAGTTCCAGCTACTTGGAAGGCTGAGAAGGATCACCGTAGCCGAGCAGGTCGAGGCTGCGGTGGCTGGGAGCGTGCCACTGCACTCCAGTCTGGGCGACAGAGTGAGACTCCAACTCAAAAAAAAAAAAAAGAAATTTCAACAATTAGTCACACAATAAATGTTTTGGTTAAAAAGAAAAAAAAACCCTTGAATAATCCTCCCTCCTCACATACCCCAAACTCCTTCATAGCTACCCTGCAGTGTGTATGCTCACCATGCCTCTTTGCATATTTCTCTCACCCTCATTCCTTGCTTAATGAAAACTCTTCAAAGTCATTGCATAATTCTCAAAGATATTCCTTAGTCCTTTGTCCACCAGCCTCACGCCCCTGCGAGTACTCATGCACCAGCTTATGCTGCGTGTATCTCTTCCCACTCTCCCGCTTTCCACATCCAAGCCTACCCTCCTTGAACACAATCACAGTGATGTTCACACCTTTCTTACACACTCCTACGCTGCTTTTTTTTAAAGTTGGAGTCTGACTCTGTCGCTCAGGAGTGCAATGGCACCATCACAGCTCACTGCAGCCTCAACCTCCTGGGCTCGGGTGATCCTCCCACCTTAGCCTCCTGTGTAACTGGGACTACAGGTGCATGCCACCACACCCGGCTAACTTTTTGATTTTTTGTAGAGATGAGGTCTCACTATGTTGCCCAAACTGGTCTCAAACTCCTGGACTCAAACAATTCTCCTGCTTCAGCCTCCCAAAGTGCCGAGATTATAAGCACGGGCCACTGCACCCAGCGCTACACTACTTGAGTTTACCCACACCCATCTCCTGTTCACTGAGCCCTCCTTGCACACTCATGACCCGTTCCATACGTGTCTCCCTCCCATCCCACACTCATCGCACCCTCCTCAAATATCCATCTCACTCTTGACTCACCATCTTATGGTTTCATGATCCTTCTGCTTGAACACACACTCAGATCACATCCATTGCATGGCCTGTCCAGCCCAGCCCAGTCTCCTCTGAACACCCATCACACACCTCATCAAGGATGTCCATGACTTTGTCCATGCCGCCTGCCTCCCTCCCACATCACCCCCTTGGGTCCCAGGGAGCTGAATCCAGACCCTCAGCCATGACCTGTCCCCCACACCCCCTGACAGTGAGTGAACCCCCAGCTCCTGCCTTCTCATGGCCCTGGTGGTATGTACTGCTGGGAGCAGTTGTGGCCGCTGCCTGTGTCCTCGTCTTGGCCCTATTCCTTGTCCATCGGCGGAAAAAGGAGACTCGTTATGGGTGAGTTGGAACTACATTAGGAGGCTTATGTGGACTGGAGGCAGGGAGACCAGTGAGAAGGCTGGTGCAGGAGGAGGGAGGACCAAGAATCGGAATGAGGGCAAGGTCTGGGGGATGAATGGAAGGCAGAAGGTAGCTGTCCAAAACATGCTTAGCAAATGCTGGAGGAGGAGCAGGCAGGACTTGAGGCTGGGATAATGCTTACTTAACCACAGGTGGAAGGAGTGGGTATCCACGTGGCTTTTCCCTGCCCTCACTTTCTTCCCATCTCCCCAGAGAAGTGTTTGAGCCAACAATGGAAAGAGGAGAACTGGTCGTCAGGTACCGTGTGCGCAAATCTTACAGTCGCCGGACCACTGAAGCCACCTGTAAGTGAACCCTAAGCCTCCCTGCCCTGGTCTGGGGCTAAAGAGTAGAGAGAGGCTGGCCTGTGGGCTTCTGTAGATGCATGAACCAAATGTTTCTGGAGGCCATGGGATGCTAGAATGTGAGAATCCCCTAGTAACAACGGGATTGTAGGCCAGGCACAATGGCTCACACCTGTAATCCCAGCACTTTTGGAGGCTGAGGTGGGAGGATCACTAGAGCCCAGGAGTTTGAGACCATCTTGGGCAACATAGAGAGATTGCATCTCTATTTTTTAAAAAATCGGCTGTACTGGGTGACTCAACCTGTAATCCCAGCACTTTGGGAAAGGCCGAGGCAAGTGGATTGCCTGAGCTCATGGGTTTGAGACCAGCCTGGGCAACTTGGCGAGACCTCGACTCTACAATAAATAAAAAATTAGCTGGGCATGGTAGTGCACACTCTGTGGTTCTGGCTACTTGGAAGGCTGAGGCAGAAGGATTGCCTGAGCCCAACAGGCTGAGGCTGTGGAGGCTGTGAGCAAGCCACTGCACTCCAGCCTGGGCAACAGAATGAGACTCCATCTCAAAAAAAAAAAAAAAAAAAAATCCAATTGAACAGCTGAGATTTGAAAACAGGCAGTTTTGTTTTGAATCCCCTATCATTAACTGTCATACTGCCTCCTGGAATTATAGAATGTTAGGGCAGGGTTGATGGCTCACTCCTATAATCCCAGCACCCTGGGATGATGAGGCGAGAGGATTGCTTGAGCCCAGGAGTTGGAGACCAGGCTGGACAACATAAAGCGAGCTCATCTCTACAAAAAAATAAAAAATAAAAAAATTAGCTAGGTGTGGTGGCACATGCCTGTAGTCCCAGCTTCTCAGGAGGCTGAGGTGGAAGATTCACCTGAGCCCAGGAGGTCTAGGCTGCAGTGAGCCATGATTGTGCCACTGCACTCCAGCCTGGGTGATAGAGTGAGATCCTGACTCAAAAAACAACTGCAAGCCAGGCTCGGTGGCTCAGCCTACAATCCCGTGCCTTTGGGAGGTTGAGGTGAGTGGATTGATTGAGCCCGCGGGTTCGAGACCCGCCTGGGCAACGAGACCTCATCTCTACAATAAATAAAAAACCAGGCAGGTGTGGTAGTGCACGCCTGTAGTTCCGGCTATTCGGAAGGCCGAGGCGGAAGGGTCGCCGGAGCCCAGCAGGTCGAGGCTGCGGTGGCCGGGAGCAGCCACTGCACTCCAGTCTGGGCAACAGAGTGAGACTCCAACTCAAAAAAAAAACAACAACAACAAAAGAAAACAACTGCAACAAAAAACAAACAAGCAAACAAAAAACACAGAATTTTAGAGAGAAAAATCAGTCTTGTCCTGAAAAATTATAGGCTCAATACTATATATATTATATCACCCTTATAATTTTGAAAATCATAAAATCTTAGAGTTACAGACTCTTTGTTAGAGGACTAGAGAGTTATGGAGGATCCCAGCTAAGGAGGGACCTCAGAGAACCAGTTGAATCTCCTCATTCCAGTTGGGGAAACTGAAAAACAGAAAGAAAAAGGGTAGAGCACATGGCAAGAAGGCTGCTGGGGCCCCCGTGGGATGTTTGGAAAGGGCTGGGGAAGACATTTATTTAAGAGGAACAGCAGAAGCAATGAGGTTGCGGTGATTTAACAGAGTAACATACAGCAGCAGTTCTAAAGTGTGAGCCCAGTCCCCTGGGGGCCCTGAGGCCTTTGCAGGGGGTCCAGAAGGTCAAACCTATTTTCATAATAATTCCAAGACCTTATTTGCCCTTTTGAGCTTTCATTCTCTCACAAGCCTTCAGTGGAGTTTTCCAGACTTCATCAATCACTCTGATGGGCTACAGAACATGTGTTTGTGTATTCTTATGTTTTATTTTGTTGTTGTTGTTGTTATTGAGTTGGAGTCTCACTCCATCGCCCAGGCTGGAGTGCAGTGGCATGCTGACAGCCACCGCAGCCTCAACCTGCTGGGCTTTGGAGATCCTTCCACTTCAGCCCTTCCAAGTAACCAGAACTACAGGTGTGCGCTACCACACCCAGCTAACTTTTTGATTTATTGTAGAGATGAGGTCTCGCCAAGTTGCCAAGGCTGTTCTCAAACCCGTGGGCTCAGGCAATCTCCTCACCTCGGCCTCCCAAAGTACCCGGATTACAGACTTGAGCCTCTGCACCCGGCCTATTCTTGTTTTTTAATTCTGAGTACAGTATACACATATATATCTCCACATGAACAAAAGTTCTTTGTAGTTCTCAATAATTTCAACAATGTAAAGGGGTCCTAGGTCAGGCTCATGCCTATAATCCCAGCATTTTGGGCTGCCAAGGTGGGAGGATTGCTTGAGCCCAGGAGTGCAAGACCAGCCTGGGCAATATAGTGACTTCATCTCTACAAAAAATCCAGAAATTAGCCAGGCATGGTGGCGCACGCCTATAATCCCAGCTGCTCAGGAGGCTGAGGCAGAAGGATCGCCAGAGCCCAGGAGGTCAAGGCTACAGTGAGCTGTGATTGCACCACTGCATTCCAACCTGGGTGACAGAATGAGACCCCCGACTCATTAAAAAAAAAAGGAGCAGGTCCTGAGGTCAATTCATTTGAGAACTGTTACTATAATGCAGTGAAAATGAATAAATTACACCCAGTGACAACTAAATTGCCACTACCTCATGGATGTAATGTTGAGTGAAAAAAGATCAGACACAAAAGAGAGCATACTACTATGTGATTCCATTTTTAGAACATTTCAAAACAGAGAAAATGAATCTATTGTAAGGAGAGTCAAGAAAGTGACTACGCCTAGGAGGACAGGTCTTGTCTTGTTCTTGACCTAGGTGCTAGTTACACAGTTGTGTTTGGTTTGTGAAAATCTATTGAGCTGCTTATTTAGAATTTGTGAAGATTATACTTCAATAAAAAGTATTTTTTGGCTGGGTGCGGTGGCTCACAACTATAATTCCAGCACTTGGGAGACTGAGGTGAGAGGATAGCCTGAGTCTATAGGTTTGAGACCAGCCTGGGCAACTTGGCAGATCTCATCTCTACAATAAATCAAGAAAAATTAACTGGACATGGTGACCACATGCCTGTAGTTCCAGCTACTTGTAAGGCTGAGATGGAAGGATCGCGTGAGTCCAGCAGGTTGAGGCTGTGGTGGCCGTGAGTGTGACACTGCTCTCCAGACTGGGTGACAGAGTGAGACTCCTACTCAGAAAAAAGTATTTTTAATAATTGGGGTCAGGCGCGATGGCTCACACCTGTAATCCCAGCACTTTGAGAGTCCGAGGTGGGTGGATTGCCTAAGCCTAGGAGTTTGAGACCAGTCTGGGCAACATAGTGAAAACTTGTCTCTAAAAAAAAAAAAATTAGCATGGTGGCTCACCTATAGTCCCAGCTACTTGGGATGCTGAGGTAGAAGGATCGCCTGAGCCCAGGAGGTTGAGGCTGCCATGAGTTGTGATTGCACCACTGCATTCCAGCCTGGGTGACAGTGTAAGACCTCGACTCAAAAAAAAAAAAAGAAAAGAAAAGATAAAACCTGGTACAGCAGGCTTCTTACTTGTTAGGGTGACTACTGGCACAAGATTGTGGCCAGACTTTAACCTTCTAGTTGCTGTTTTGAGGGAAGGTTTGGGGTCCAGCAGAGGAACCAGGGTAGAGGCGGTAGGGTGCCCGGGGCAGTAGCTAATTTGGAGCCAATACAGAAATTTGTATTTCAACCATGAGTCTCTCCCTACTGGTGAGTGTCACCTGAATATCAGCCCTGCTCCATGGTTCTGTCCATCCCCTCCCTGAATGCAGTGAACAGTCTGGGCATCAGTGAAGAGCTGAAGGAGAAGCTGCGGGACGTGATGGTGGACCGACATAAGGTGGCCCTGGGGAAGACCCTGGGAGAAGGTGAGTCCCCCAGGCATACACACATGAACCCTGAGATCCTTCACTTCCTCACCCCCATGAAACTATAGGAAATATAACCCCTACAGGGCCACTGAGGTCTGTATCTCCCTCTGGCCCTCCACAGGAGAATTTGGAGCTGTGATGGAGGGCCAGCTCAACCAGGATGACTCCATCCTCAAGGTGGCTGTGAAGACGATGAAGAGTAAGTCTGTGCATGCACGGCACCCCCCAATCCCTAACTCCCGACCCTTCCCTATGCCCCTGAGGAGGCGGGAGAGCAGAAAAGTTCATGGCAAATGAGCCATAGCAAAGAACTTCAGTGTTTCCAGATGGGAAATGGAGCCCATGCCAGGTACTTCAACAGAAGGAATTGAATATGGGGAGATAACTACAAAGGTGGGAGAAGGACTGAAGGAAGAACTGGTGGGCAGTGAGGCCACCTGGAGATCAGCAGCAGCAGGAAGTCACTGCCACCCCAGGCCTGAAGGGTGGAGGGAGGAAGTGGTGATACTAGAGCCTCTGCCCAGGGACACCCTGCAGGAGTTGGAACCACAGAGTTAGGGACTGCTTTGTGGGAGTTAAATACACAAGGGAGACTGACACAGCCACTGACAAGGCCAAAACAAGAAACAGAGAGAGAGAGGAAATATCCTGGATTCTCCCTTCCTCCCACCTGCCAGTCTCATCAGTGCCTACCATTGGCAAATCCCAACAGGAAACAAGTAGGAAAGGAAGCCTGGGAAATCTAGTTTTTTTCTTATCTTTTTCTTTTTTTTTTTTTTTGGTGTCAGAGCCTTACTCTGTCGCCCAGACTGGAGAGCAGTGGCATAATCACAGCCACTGCAGCCTTGACCTACTGGGCTCCAGCGATCCCTCCACCTCAGCCTTCCAAGTACCTGGAATGGAGTAGCATGCCACTACTCCGGCTAATTTTTTTGATTTATTATAGAGATGAGGTCGTGCCAGGTTGCCCAGGCTGGTCTCGAACCCCTGGGCTTAGGCAATCCTCTCGCCTCAGCCTCCCAAAGTGCTGGGATTATAGGTGTGAGCCACCATGCCTGGCTAGAATCTAGTTTTCTGGGGCCAGCCCCCTGTAACACAGCAGAGCAGGAGAAGGTCTGGAATGAGGCACCCTTGTCTGCTTTACCAACTGTGTGACCTCAGGCAAATGACTTTCCCTCTCTGAGCCTCCCTTCTCTCAACTGAAATAAGGAATCATAATGTCCTAGAGCTGCTGTGAGACAAAGCACTTAATGCTGGAGTGGCATGCAGATGTGTTGTTGATGTGGACTATGACTATATTATTTACATCATCAGAGAGGACAGGAGTCAGTCCAGGGTCACACAGCACAGGAAGGCAAGTCCTTTCCACACAGGGGAGGAGAAGCACAGGGGTTTGGGCTGGGACTGGAGGTGAGGGGAGAAGGATCCTTTCTGGATTATATGAGTTAAAAGCTTGGGCTCTGGAGTCATCACTTGTTCATTCATTATTGAGCACCTCCTGTGTACCAAGTTATGTACCAAGACCTGGGTTTGAATCCCAGCCATGCACCTTGGGCAAGTCACTTTGTCTCTGTGAGCCATGGTGTCCTGAGCTGTAAAACGGGGTCATAATTCTGTGGGTCCCAGAGCTGGTGGAAGCGTGCTGGAAGCAACCTAGCGTGGTAATGAGTGCCTGAACCTTGGAGCCAGACTGCCTGGGTTTGAATTCTGCCTATTCCACTGCCAAGCTGTGTGTGCCCTTAGGCAGGTTCCTTCACCTTTTCATGCCTTGATTTCCTCATCCTTAAAATGGGATAGTAATAGTGGCCCCGCAGAGGATTAAATGAGTTAACATACATAAAACACTGAGTACAGCACCTGATACTTACTAATCATGGCTGATGAAGATGAGATGATGATGATGATGATGGAGAGGAAGAGGAGGGAAAGAGTCCTCCCTCCCCACCCCACCCCCATCCACCTTCCTTTCTCCCTCCAGTTGCTATCTGCACAAGGTCAGAGCTGGAGGATTTCCTGAGTGAAGCTGTCTGCATGAAGGAATTCGATCACCCCAACGTCATGAGGCTCCTCGGTGAGGGAGGGGCAGATTCAAGGGGTCTACAGGTCCCAAGGGGACCATACCAGAAGGAAGTCCCCTCCCTCTGGCACTGGGAAGATCAAATTTCCAGGCTCCCTGCTCCTTACACTTCTTCAGGGTCATCAGCTCCCTCCTCCTGCTCTCCCTCAGCTTGGAATGTGACCTCTGACCCTTCCCAGAAATAGCTGAGATCCCCAGGGGGGCTCTGAAAACTTCCCTGGGAACTCTGCTGGAAATGGCTTCTCTGAAGTTCGGACCTTGATATCCCCCAACCCCACCCTCAAGCAGTGTGGAGGTCAGATTTGATGGGGAGTGAGGAGAAGCTGGGATCAGGCTGGGAGCGGGGCTTGGATTCCCCTGCTGCCTAGCAGGATTGACTGACGGGGCGGCCTGGGGGGCTCAGGCGTCTGTTTTCAGGGCTGTGAACGAGAGGGCTTCCCGGCACCTGTGGTCATCTTGCCTTTCATGAAACATGGAGATCTGCACAGTTTCCTCCTCTATTCCCGGCTTGGGGACCAGCCAGTGGTGAGGGGCATTTAATCATCCAACCCACAAGTATTAACTGAGCACCTACCAGATACCCGGCACCTCATAGTCACTGGGAAGACCATGGTGACTATGCGCTTGTCTTGGGGGGAGGGGTACCAGGCAACAAACAAGCTCATAAATACGTCAGCAAGATAATTTATGTGTAAGGAAGGAAACGCAGTCGAATGGATGATAAGAAGGCCAGGCAATTCGTTCGGGTGGACATGAAAGGCCCCGCTGAGGAGGTGACCTTGAAGGAGGAGGGACTGGGGAGATGTCTGGAGACCTGGGCGGGAAGCAATTCCTACAGAGGGTACAACATAGGCAAAGGCCCAGAGGTGGCAACAAGCATGGCTTGTCTGAAAACCAGACAGGAAGCCCCTGGCTCTGTCAAGAGCAAGAACACAGGAGGTCGGTCAAATTATAGAGGGCCTTGCTGGCCATAGAAAGGCGTTGGATTAGCCCGGCTCGGTGGCTCAACCTATAATCCCGCACCTTTGGGAGGCTGAGGTGAGTAGATTGCCTGAGCCCGCGGGTTCGAGACCCACCTGGGCAACTTGGCGTGACCTCATCTCTACAATAAATCAAAAATTAGCTGGGCCGTGGTAGCAGCGCCTGTAGTTCCAGCTACTCGGAAGGCTGAGGCGGAAGGATCGCCGGAGCCCAGCAGGTCGAGGCTGCGGTGGCTGGGAGCGTGCCACTGCGCTCCAGTCTGGGCGACAGAGTGAGACTCCAACTCAAAAAAAGAAAAAAAGAAAAGAAAAGAAAGGGGTTGGATTTGATTTTCAGAGTCATGGGAAACTCCACAGGCAGAGCTAGGCACGCACAGGAAGGGAAGGAAGAAGGGCTAGACCTTGGGGACTCTGCTGACCTCTACTCCCCCCTGCCTTGGCTCCCCCAGTTCCTGCCCACTCAGATGCTAGTGAAGTTCATGGCGGACATCGCCAGTGGCATGGAATACCTGAGTACCAAGAGATTTATACACCGGGACCTGGCTGCCAGGAACTGCATGTGAGTATTGAGCCTTTTGGAGACTCCTCCTTCTCCAGGGACCTCCCTCTTTCCTTCCCAGGATGGAAGGGAAACTAGACAACCCCTCAGGGGAAGTCAGAACTCAGAACCAGGATATAAAAGTCAACAAAGGGGTCTGGAAGGCTTCCTGGAGAAGGTGGGCTCTGAATGAGATCTTGAAGTATTTGAATGTGAGTGAGAAGGGATAAGAGGGCAGGCTCAGGGTGCAGCATGAGGTGACTGATGGAGTGATGACATGTGAGCTACACTGAATAAGGAAACCAAACTCCTCACCAATGCGCAAGCAGAAAGTAGGCCAGAACCAGACCGGGCATGGTGGAATGCATACATTTCTAGTCCCAGCTACTCAGGAGGCTAAGGCAGGAAGATCGCCAGGAGTTCAAGTTCAGCCTGGGCAACATAGTGAGACCCCATCTCAAAAAATAAAATAAAATAAAGACCAGAATAGAGTGCTAAGGGGAGGGTGGGAAATGAAGGGAATGGAAGGAACTATAGGCTTGGTCTCATTACAATGTCAGGCTCATGGAAATCAGAGCTGGAAAATATTCCACAGGATGTATAAATGTATATTACTGTCGGGGATATGGAAATGAAAATTTCTTTTCCCTTCCAACTCATTATTTCAAAAAATCCCAATCCTAAAGAAGAGTTGGGAGAATTAAGCAATGAGCACCCACATACCCTCCTTGTTGGCATTTTGTTACTTTTCTTTCTTTCTCTCTCCCCCCAACCATTTGCAAGTACGTTGCTGAGACTGTGACACTTCACCCCTAGATCTTCAGTAGGCAACTCCCAAGAATAAGGACTTTCTCCTAAATAATCATAATTCTGTTATCACCCCTAAGGAGACTGAGAGTAATTCTGTACCATAACCTAAGATCCAATCCACATTCACATTCCTCCAGTTGTCCTACAAAATGTCTTTTATAAGAGATCCTGACCCAGGATCCCATCAAGGTTTCAGAATTACATTTGGTTGTGATGCCTTTTCTGGTCTGTTTGAATCTAGAATAGTCATACCCCTCTCCACCTTTTTATATTTTGTTGGCATATTCTTTCGGAGGACACAAGACCAGTTGTCTTGTAGAATGTCCCATATTTAAGATGCGTCCACTTCCTTGTGGTGGCATTGCCTTGTTCTTCTGTTCCCTGTGTGAAAACTGGAAGGTAGATCTAAAGGTCTAAATAGACTGAGTCAAAATGGAAAACATTTTATTTCTGTAACTCAAGCTGATTCCTGTCAAGTCCCCTCTGTAACAATGGCACTGAGAATCAAGACAGGCTGAGTGCCGTGCTCATGCCTGTTATCCCAGCAGTTTGGGAGGCAGAGGCCAGAGGATTGCCCCAATTCAGGCATTTGAAAGCAGCCTGGACAACTTGGTGAGATCTCGTCTCTACAATTACAAAAAAAAAATTAGCTGGGCATGGTGGCGCATGCCTGTGGTTCCAGCTACTTGAAAGGCTGAAGCAGAAGGATCTTCTGAGCCCAGAAAGTCGAGGCTGTGGTGGCCATGTGCGTGCCATTGCACTCCAGCCTGAGCGACAGAGTGAGACTCTGACTAAAAAAAAAAAAAAGAAAAGAATCAAGACAATCAACTGTTATGAACCTGTTGAGCTTTTGGTTATACTGTTAGAATATTGAAATACTTCCTTACTGGTTGGCTGTTGGCCACTACCCCAGGCCTTCATGTATTGCATAGCCACCAACCTCAATGCCTGGGCATTGCCCTCCCCAAAACCCCTGTGAGCTGGACCTCCCTGGACCCAGCAGTTAAAGGCTCACTGTTGGAACACCAGGGCCTGCTGGGGTCTGTTCTGATTGGTCATTACTCAAGCCCATGCCCCCAGTGAGAAATCATCAATTCTTAAAAAAATGAAATTCCAGGCCAGGTATGGTGGCTCATGGCTTGTAATCCCAGCACTTTGGGAGGCCTTGGCAAGAGGATCATTTGAGGCTGGGAGTGCAATACCAACCTGGGCAACATGTCACCTGCTTGTAGTCCCAGCTACTCAGGAGGCTGAGGTGGGAGGATCCCTTGAGCCCAGGAGTTGGAGGCTACAGTGAGCCATGATGATGCCATTGCACTCCAGAGACCTTGTCTCTAAAAAACTAGAAAAGAAACATTAAAAAAAAAGGAATCAAATCCAGCAAGCCTAGGAAGGACCTTAGAATCTGACAAAAAGTCAAAACTGGAAGGCCTTTGGAAGCTCTTTGTCCCACTTCATAGAGGATCATTTTACAGAGGAAACAAGAAGTAAAGCACTTCCCTCCTGGACTGGGGCAAAAGTTCGGGAGACAGGGCTCCCACCTCCGCCAGGACAGCAAGAGTAGGAGGTGAAGATGTGTCTGAGAGCTAGGGTGGGCTTCCTGGTGGAGGTGGCTGGTAGCCTGACCCTGTTCCTTTCCCCAATCTGGGCAGGCTGAATGAGAATATGTCCGTGTGTGTGGCGGATTTTGGGCTCTCTAAGAAGATCTACAACGGGGACTACTACCGCCAGGGACGCATTGCCAAGATGCCAGTCAAGTGGATTGCCATTGAGAGCCTGGCTGACCGCGTCTACACCAGCAAGAGCGATGTGGTATGTTGCCCCCACCAGGAGTGGGGAATAGTGGAAGGGCATGGTCTGGCCATCTCACATCACAGTTACAGGTGCAGGGCTCACAGGGATGTGTGGGCTTCCCTAAACAGGGGCCTGTCTATGTGGGCTGAGCATGTCTGGGGACAGGGTGGGGATCTATGAACAGTGGGTATGTACATGCCCGGGATATATACAACCCAATGTGCATCGTGGCAGTGTAGACAGTTTAGGTTAGGAGAAGCTGCGGTGACCATGTGTGCATGTGCCCACACTCATACAGTGAATACAGCCAGGGTGTGCAGGGTGACATATGAGCTCACGTGTGCATAAAGTATGTCAGCGTGTGTGAGGGTGAGCATATCTGTGCACCCACAAAAGTTACCTATGCATGTGTATACCTGTGCCAGACTGTTTCTACAAATACTCGTAAAATACCCAGAAGATGGCTGTGAACACGTGTCCATGAGTGTAGGTGCACCCATGAACCGTGTGTTAAGGGATGACAGTGCAGGAGAGCCCCTCTAATTCCCTCCCCTCTGCCCTTCACAGTGGTCCTTTGGGGTGACAATGTGGGAGATTGCCACACGGGGCCAGACCCCGTATCCAGGAGTGGAGAACAGTGAGATTTATGACTACCTGCGCCAGGGAAATCGTCTGAAACAGCCTGTGGACTGCCTGGATGGACTGTGAGGACCCTTAAGACATTCCTCTCTCAATCCTATAATTTACTCCAAATCCCTGAGATCCGCTCCCCACCCCCGCCACCCTTCCCCACATGACCCTAATATATCCAGGACCCCTCTAAAACCTGGACAGAATCCCTCAGAATTTTGAGCAACTTACTTGCCCCTCACCAGAGCTCTGAGCAGGACCAGCAGGGTGCAAGTTAGCCTCCCTCCTTTGTGTGTGCTTAGAATTCAGGCTTGATCAGACTCCTAATTCTTCCCGATGACTGGGCATACTATGCTTCCCCCAGATGCTCCTGAACACTCAGGACCCTCTGCAAAACCCTCCAGTTTTATTTAATCATTCATTTATTTGAGTTGGGCTCTCACTTTGTCGCCCAGGAGTGTAGTGGCACAATCAAAGCTCACCATAGTCTTGACCTGCTAGGCTCAGGTGATCCTTCCACCTCAGCCTTCCAAGTTGCTGAAACTACAAGCATGTGCCACCATATCCAGCTAATTTTTTTATTTACTGTAGAGATGAGGTCTTGCCAGATTGCCTAGGCTGGTCTTGAACCCCTGGGCTCAGGCAATCCTCTTGTCTCCATCTCCCAAAGTGCTTGGGTTACAGGTGTGAGCCATGACATAGCTAACATTTTTACAGAAGGCACTGTTTTAGGTGCTTTACATTAACTCTTTCGATTCTTACTATAGCCACCTGCAATAGATAGGTATCATTATTATTTCCATTTTGCAGATGAGAAAATTGAGACTTAGAGGGAGAGGTGAGTTATTTGCCAAAGGTTGCACAGCTGGTGTATTAGTTATATATATCCCCAAATCTAGTAGCTTAAAACCACCAACATGTATTACATCACACAGTTTCTGAAGATCAGGAATCCACGAACAGCTTAGCTGGGTGATTCTGGCTCAGGGTCTCTACTGAAATGACAGTCAAGATGTCAGCTGGGGCGACAGTCACCTGAAGGTTGGGACTGGAGGACTGCTTTCAGGTTAGCTTGCTCACATGTCTGAGGAAGGAGGCCTTGGTTCCTTGCCATGTGGACCCCTCCATGGTGCTGCCCGAGCTTCCTCACAGCCTGGCAATCCAGGAGGAAACCACCATGCCTTTATGACCAGTCTCAGAAGCCACACATACCATCCCCTCTGCTGAGTCAGAAGCAAGTCACTAAATCCTGCCCACGCTCAAGGGAAAGGGATTTAGTCTCCATCTTTTGCGGGGAACAGGGACAAGGAATTTATGGACATATTTTATTTTATTTTATTGAGTAGGAGTCTTGCTCTGTCATCCAGGCTGGAGTGCAGTGGCATGCTCACCACTACCACAGCCTCAACCTGCTGGGCTCAGGCAGTCCTTCTGTCTCAGCCTTCCAAGTAGCTGGAACTACAGGCATGCACGCTCAGCTAACGTTTTGATTTACTATAGAGATGAGGTCTCACTATGTTGCCCAGGCTGGTCTTGAACCCGTGGGCTCAGGCAATCCCCTTGCCTCCACCTCCCAAAGTGCTGGGATTATAGGCATGAGCCACTGCATCCAGCATATGAACATATCTTAAAGTAGCACAGCTCGTAAGTGGCAGAGTCAGGCTTTGATGTGAGTCTGCTCTGGGCAATCAACTGGGCCCTAGTAAACCCTCACTAGAACACTACCCCATACCCAGATGGGTTTCCCAAGACCTTTCCCAGCTCCTGAGTCTCCAGGACCTGCCTCAGAAACTCTCGAGAATTCCCAAATCCCCATAGATGGCCCCAAACCCAGGCCTATGAGTGTCCTAAAATGTCCCCAAACTCCCAGGATGCTCACCTTCTGAGGCCCTGCTCAGACTCCCAACCTTCACTCTGCTGCTCTAGGTATGCCCTGATGTCCAGGTGCTGGGAGCTAAACCCCCGGGACCGGCCGAGTTTTACAGAGCTGCGGGAAGACCTGGAGAACACCCTGAAGGCCCTGCCCCCTGCCCAGGAGCCCGATGAAATCCTCTATGTCAACATGGATGAGGGTGGAGGTCATCCTGAGCCCCTTGGAGCTGCCGGAGGAGCTGACCCCCCAGCCCAGCCTGACCCGAAGGATTCCTGTAGCTGCCTCACCGCGGCCGAGGTCCATCCTGACAGACGCTATGTCCTCTGCCCTTCCACAGCCCCTGGCCCCACTCTGCCTGCTGACAGGGGCTCCCCAGCAGCCCCAGGGCAGGAGGATGGCGCCTGAGACAACCCTTCACCTGGAACTCCCTCTCAGGACCCAAGCTAGGCACTGCCACTGGGGGAAACTCCATGCCCCCCACTTTTCCACTCCAGGCCTTATCCCCAACTGACCCCCTGTCTTCCTGCCATCTCCATCCCAGACACATTCTTCCCCTCCTCTGTGCTGTAGCATCACCAGCTGTAAAAGGAGGGGGTTGGACTGTAATCTTAAAGAGTCCTCCCAGGTCCAACATTCCAAGATTCTAAGGCTTAAAGTGTCTAGATTCAAAGGTACTAGGTTTCCAAGATGCTGAGTCTTTGATTCTAAGGACCTGAAATTCCAAAGTCTGTCGTTCTAAAGTGCTCACATTCTAGAATGGAAGTTCTAAGGCCTACTATTCTGAGGCTCTGAGATTCTGTGGCTATAGATTTTCTGGTTCTAAGATTTTTGATAAGACCCCAAGATTTTAGGCTCTAAAGCTCTAAGATTCTAGTTCTAGGACTCAAGACTCTATGAGTCTAGATTTTTATTTTTCTAGGGTTCCAAGTCCTTAAGGTGTAAGAGTCTAGATTCTACAATCCTAAAGATTCTATAATTCTAGACATGGAGGTTCTAAGGCCTACTGCTCTAAAATTCTATGTTCTAAGGCTCTTAGAGCCTAGATCCTCTGGCTGTAAGACTCTAGATCATAAAGCTTCAAAATTTTATCGTCTCAAGTTCTAAGGTTCTAATAATGGTCAGTTATAGTTTCTGAGGCTTTATGATTATAGATTCTCTTGTATGAGATCCTGGATCCTAAGGGTCTAAGATTCTAGAATATGCAATTTAAAAGTTCTAAGAGTGTAAAGATGAGGGTTCTAAGGTCTAATGTTCTAAGGTGTGATATTCTAAGACTTAGTCTAAGAATCTAGGTTCTCTGTGTCTAAGATTCTAGATCAGATGCTCCAAGATTCTAGATTATTAAACTCAAAGATTCTAATATTGGTCTGTTCTGTTTCTAGGCACTCTAGATTGTATCAATCCAAGATTTTGCATCCTAAGCATCTAAGTTACAAGACTCTTTCACTCAGTTGTGACTAACCAGACACCAAAGTTCTAGCCATTTCTGATGTTGGACACCTTTAGGTTCTATGCTGCATTCTGCCTTTCTAGGATCACAGTTAAGTGTCCAAGAATCCACATTTGTAAAATCTTAAAGTCTAGGCACTGTAGTTCTAAGACTCAAGTGTTGCAAGCTTCCAAAATTCTAAAGGTCCACAGGTCTAGAATATTAGGTACAATGCCAAGGTTTTAACCTTATTCTGCAGTATACTGCTGTGTGTCCCTACCCTTCTTAGCCACCTTTGCTTCCTCCTCCCCTCATGTTGGGGTGTGCACCCCCAAAGCCTGTGCAATGCATTAGGGAAGCCTCCTTTCCCCCAGGAAATGGAGGAACTCCCTCTTTTTGGGCCATGCTGCCCCCCTGAGCCAATCCCTCACCCCCCGAGTACAGAGTATGGACTCTGGTGCCTCCGGAGGGGCTCAGGTCACATAAAACTTTGTAATCATGCCTCGGTCTCCTCTTGTCTCCATTTAGCTGTGATGCGGCCCCTCTCCCTGGCAATTCAGTCTCCCTGTCAACAAAAAGATGGGCTTGGTGGGGTCTTGGAATTCTCTCTTCACTCGAGAAGGCAGCAAGTGACACACATGTAGATAAAAAGACACACAAGCAAAGAACTTGCATACTCTCAGAAGCCCCTAGCGAGGAACAGACACACAGATACAGGGGTCACAGACACCCCCTCTCCAAAGTAACAGACACATGAATGAATGGATACACTCAAGACACTGAAAAACCAGACACACAGAGCAACAGATCACACAGATACGTGTTCACAAACATGATTAGGCCGATAGACACCTGCCACGAATAGGAAGGAAGAAGGTGAATCACACAGACCCAGACCCAGAGCAGGGACACGAACACGCGCGAGAGAGGTACAGGGTCCAACAGGCACTCGCAGGGCCAAACGTCCAGAGTCACGCAGACACAGAAGCGCAGAACCGCCTCCAACAACCATCACCCACGAGGGGACTCCCGCCCCCACGAGCCCCCCCCCCCGCCCCCGGGTCTCGCACGCACCCCCGGGCGCGCGTCCCAGGGTGTGGCCGACCGAGGAACCCTCGGCAGCGCCCGGACGCCCCCCGGTGGCGGCTCCCGAGAATC